AGATAGATAGATAGATAGATATGGCAGTTGAGATGTTAAATATTCTTGGGAGGAAGCTTTATTCTACTAATTAGCAGAAGCAACAGAACAACTATTATGTAATTACATCTTTTTACTAGCCAATTAATTCTGACCTAACAGAGGTTAAGCGTGTCGGTTGAATGCATTTCAGTAGTAGACATGGAGTTTTTTGTGATCCTCCTCTGATCCCTGAAGATGCGTTTTCTCTCCATTTTCCTAATTCCACAAGGGGATCAGAGGTCAGGCTCAGTTACAGAACAACACCTCTGGAGGTACCAGAGACTCCATGTCTTGCTGAAAGACACTTAAACAGGCCGGATCTTATTAGTGTATATGCCACAGTGCAGCTCTTAATTGCAATTCTCATGATAAATTTGCCATATATAGTATAATTGATTACTGATAACATGATATAATCCACATAAATGCAGTCATATCAAGCATAATTACTCATATCAGTATGAGCTGAACTGCCCTTGTATTGATGTTATAGTCCCATCTGCACTAATTAGACCTTTCTGTGTACAGAATACGCTGAGCGAATAATACAACACCGGCAGTGCACATGCTCACTTGCATGAATAACAAAACTATTCTGAAGAGAGTGGCGTGGAATGCATTATTTCCTGTGTGAAGTAACGGACAGACTAGTTTGGAAATTGTGCACAGCAGATAGATAGAGGGCGTGGAAAAATTTGTAGTGCAAACATGTACTGTTAAAATTGTAGCTCCAACAATCTATTTCACGGTCTCTGAATGGCAGTGTTGATTCAGCACCATGGACAGTGACACAAGGCAGCTCTGCATCCTGAGTTTTGAGCTGACATCATTTGTCAGAGTTTTATTCTCTCCTTTTTCTCTCTATCTATTTACATTGTCTTTATGTAGAGAAGAAAGAGAAGCACATTTGTTTTTACATAGTGCAACACTCCAAAGGCTGCTGTGTGTTGCATTCCAGCATGCTGCTATCTTTTTAATTATTCACCCAAATATGCCTTTGATCCAAACACCTGACCAAGCTTCCATTTTTTCCCAAATCGCCCCTTTAAATGAAAGGTTTGAAACCACTGATAAATCTGCTTGATATCTGAAAAATACCAGTGAGCTCACAAAATTTCTACTGCAATGCTGGAGAAAAACAAAACCAAAAAAAAAAACATGAAGAAAGATCATAACACATATGAAGACTTGGAGCAAATGGACTAAGATGATAGTCCAAAATGATGCCATTTTTTACCGTATAGAGTTTTGACATGCAATTCTTTGCAGGGCAGCGCCTTCCAAGAGGATTTTATGTTTAAAAACCATGTTGGGAAAAGTTTCAGCTCCTGAAGTGTGCAATACATTAAATCTTTCTCTGTCTGGACAAAATCTCAAACCCTCCATGGTCATTGTCCATTGGCTTACCTTGCACTCTGACTTTTCTCCCTGTGAGGGTAGATGCAGGAATTTGTGTTTTATGACCTTTGGGTTTTTAATTTAAATTTAGTTCTGCTCTACTTTGGATTCTGGCATTAGTATGTTTTCTTTGTTCTGTTGGTGTGGGTAGGTATTTTATTAGGTTTTAATACTTAAAAGGGCTTTTAACTGTACTATAGTAAAAAAAAATTGTATATTAGACCAGTTGAGCACAGTAACTTCAGGAACCCCAGCTCTGTTGGTTTTCTACCCTCCCAGATATTTAATATCATTCACCCGACATCCCAGGTGTAAAATACCCCCTGTTAGATGGTTAGAACGAAAACCAGCAGGGCCCTGGCTCCTGGGGACCAGGATTGAGAACCATTGCTGGAGAGAACATTTCTACAAGGCTTCACAGCAGTGTATTTCATGACTGGTCCTCGGGTCTTACAGCCCTGCTGGTTTTCTTTCTAACCATCTGACAGGGACTTTTTTATAGCCAGTGTGCCAAATGAATGCAATCATTTACCTGAGAGGATAGAAAAAACAAACGAAAAAAAAACAGCAGCACACCTCGGTCCAGCAGACTAGAAGTACCCAGTGAGGTCTGGGCTCCTTAGTAACATGGTCTTACATGTCTACAGTGAAGAGAATTACAGTTTATCCGAATCATGAATCAGCAAAATTAAAGGATACATTCTTTAAAACCATCGTTTTAAATTCTGATTTGGAAGTTTATTTGTCATCATTTTCAATAAATATTTAAAATGACTGAGTTTTGGTAAAGAACAATTACATGAGCTGCTATTACAAAGCTACTAATCCCCAATCTCCCAACTTGTTGCTACAACAAAACTAACAAAACTAAATTACCCGACAGAAGCAGGGGAAGTAGCACAAATGCTGCCTTTGCACCGTTTAAATATCCCAAGCTTTCAACTCAACACAAATGTTTGCATTCTCACTCTGCCCTGTGGGGCCCTCAGCCTGCTCTCCCATTGGCCCTGCCGCGCTCATTATGCAAACCAGGTGGTGGGCGGGGTCTGTTTATAAGAGTACGAGCTGACGTCACGGAGAGAGTGACATCTGGG